TCCTTTAAAATTATAGACAATTTACATAATAACGGATCGAGAATGGAGCTGAGACTGTTTTGAATCGGCTAATAAATATGGAGAATAGCCCTATAGGCCGTGATCGATCGGTTTCCATAGGAAAGAAGGGACAGACACGTAGCTCGAGGCCCGATTCCAAGGCCCAATTAATTTATAACTCTCATGGTTCATGAACCATCTCCTTGACAGACAGACAGACAGACAATCAAATAATAATCAGTCAATTCGTGGAATCTAAAGAGGTGCGGAAATTTTATAATTAGGATATAAACAGTGGATTAGGTCAGAATTGTGAGATACAGAGAGATACGTATCTTCATTAATCAAATCCATTTGCCTTGATAATTGCTCTATAATAAGCAACCAAATCACATGGATTAAGCGTCAAAACCCATTCCCTACCTCACATGGCGGATGGATTTCCTCTCCCAAGAGAAAGGTAATAATGGATAATCATGTCCATCTTCATTATCAAGTTTTAGCTCCCGAACCCATTTCGTTTATATGTGAGATTTTATTCATCTATACAATCAATACATTGTTTTGACTTGTACAAAATCAGACTGTCCTCAAAATAGCATGAGAAACCTAATTTCTGTTACATTCTGTTTACACCTAAAATATTTTTGGCCTAAATTCAATGCCGTAATAATGAGTCTCGGCATTTAATTCGATATCGCATGGCCAAAACGATGTCGTTTGGAGTTGAGCAATACCGTGGTGAATTTAAGCAAGACCGCGAAGAGGCTCGGCGGTACCGCGGTACTTGAAACGACATTGGTTGCAGACCATGTGTGAGTCATGCGCAGGACATGTGTTGTTGTTGGACAAGGAATGTTTTTTTATTTTATTTTTTCTTGTCGGAGGAGGAGAGTAACAGCACCGTTTGGAGTCAAGCAATACTGCGAAGAGATAAAACGGTGCCGCAAATCTCACAGCTCAACGGCATCGCGAGACTGGGAAACGGTGTCGTTTGGCTAAAAAACGGCACCGCGACAAGCGGCATCGCGAATGAGTTAAAACGGTACCGCAAGGAAGCTCAGCGGTACCGCGGCACTGGAAACGACACTGTTTACTGAAAATAAAAGGGGCCGCGCGTTTTAGTGTAGGTGTCGCGAAATGAGTTTTTTTTGTTTATAATTAATTATTATTTTTATTCCTTGTTGGAATGGGGAAATCGGTACCGCGGAGAATTAAAACGGTACCGCGGAGTTAAAAACGATGTCGCGAGAGCCTTGATAAGCGGTACCGATTAAATAAAAAAAAACCATATTGGGTAAGTGACCAAAATTCGCCCAGCCCAATGCGAGTGCAGACTCGCGGCGGTTCCATGAGTCGATATTTTTTTGGTTATGTTAGCAGTGTCGTTTAATTAAAAACGCTACCGCAAGCAAGCCCAACGGTACCGATGTACTAGCAAATGACAGTGTTTACTAAAAAAACAATGTCGCAAAAGGAAAAGCAAACGAAGCTGTTTGGGAAAGGAAACGACATCGCGGGATCATGAAAACAACTCACGTAAAGTTCACGCGAAGCAGTTTGAGGAACGAATCGGTTGAGACACGTGGGAGTTCTCCGGACGACGAAGCAGTTGACACAGAGTTGCGTGAAGACTACGAAGATGCTTTCGAATAAAAGCAACAGAGCAAGGAGAGAGAGGGGGACAACCAAAAATCAACACATATCAACTCTGTTCAAACTTTACCTTTTCTCTGTAACTCCTTCGCGAAGCTCTCCTTCCAGGAAGGATCTCCATAGTTGTAGTCTTAGTTGTAGTCGCGGAGCTCTCCACAGGAATCTCCATAGGAGTAGCGGTAGCGTAGATTCCTCAAAAACTCAAACACCCTCGTTCGATCGTAGTTTGGAGAGGTGCGAACCGTAGTCGCGGTCGCGTTGGTTAGAAGTCAGAGGTGCATCGATCAGATCAACATCGCTCGGCGGTGGATATTTGACGATCACGTTGATTTCACCATTAAGAGGTGCATCGATCAAATCAACATCGCACGACGGTGGATATTTGACGATCGTCATCAGAAGTCAGAGTTGCACCGATCAAATCAACGGCGCCGACATTCGGCGGTGGATATTTTGACGGTCGTCTCGATTTCAGCTATCAGCGATGCATCCGATCAGAGGCACCGTAAGAGTTTCCATCGTGAAACATCAAATCAACATCGCCGGAAACCAAATTCGGCACCGGTGATGGGATTTGGTTTTCTCGAGAAACACATTATATACATCTAGTATAACTAGGCTTCATACCAAAGAAATCTTGCAGCTGGAGACGCAGCAAAGCCTTGGTCACCAAGCTCCTTTGCCTGCATTACCTTCTGCATCCTCAGCACCAGTTCATCTACTAGTAGTTGCTTCCCTCCATAGAGTCTTCTGCATCTCTCTCTCTCTCTCTCTCTCTCTCCAGATTTCGCTCAACACAAGACACCAAAGGATTCTTCCCACCTGACTTCCTCCGAGCTTCTTATTTGTGTGTTACCACTGCCTCCTGCAAGCTAGCCTCAATAGGGATATGCCATGAAACAGGAAACACAGCCTTCCAAACATCCTGTGCATAACCACACTGGAAGAAAATATGATCACTCGATTCATCTTCCTGCCTACATAAAGGACATGTTACATTCACCTCTGCATTCCAACGTTGAATTTTATCTAGTGTTGTGATTCTCCCCAACGATATAAGCCATACTAGCAACGAGTTCTTGGGTATACCTCCCGTCCATATCAACTTTGCCCATGCCACTGTCTCTCCTCTTGGTCTAATGCTCTGCCACACCTTACTGGTTTGAAATCTAGCCATTCCTACTCCCTCCCTTTCCACACCCGAGCTGTTCTGGACAGTTTACCTGCAAATAGATTCCGAAGCTTTAGGATTTCGTCCCAAATCCAAGAGCCTCTCGTCTATACTTCCCAGATGCTAAGGTTTCGAAGTCTGTATCTTCTTCGTAAGATGATGGTCGCCTAATTCATATACGAAGTAAACTTCCTGCATTCATAAAAAAAAAATTGATGCATGAATCTAACAATCATACGCTATCTTTTTTTTAGATGAAAAACCGGCAAAAGGGGGTACCTTGATCCATATTATTATTTATAACCGTTATAACCTTATGAAATGACAAATTATACAATCCCGGCAGTGGCGGACTCAGAATTGTTGGAGAGGTGTGTCGTCGACAAAATAAGATAATAATTAAAAATTAAATATAAATTACTAGAAATTAATTCATAAAGTTCACAATGTCATGTTTACATATGAACCACGACAAATTTTCATGTCCTCAATTGTCTATAAAATACATTCAACGCTTTTGTTGCGAAGTAAATCCTTTTCGATATACACAACTAAACAATCATTCATAAATTGGTCATTCGATCGATTTCGAAGATCATTCTTAATTATCTTCATAGATGAAAATGCTCTTTCGTAGCTTGCAATCGCAATAAGTAAAGTCAACACCAACTTCAAGAGCAAGTAAAACTAAATGATAAAAGAAAAGAGGATTTATGAGTGGGTCTTGGTAATTAGAAGCTATAAACGGGTAAGAGTGTGTTTTTTTTATTTCATTTTTTATTTTCAATAAAAGAAGGGTCAAGTGGTTGAAACCGTGAGTTTCAAAAGATGAGATTATGTTTATTTTATTTATTTATTGTTAGATTGTGGTGTGAGTTACTTTAAAACGAGTATACTTATTTGATTTTACTTATTATTGTTTATTACTCATTAAGATAAATAATTTTATAACAAGAAAATCATTCTCGAAGATGTGTCGCTTACTATTATTTGAGATGTGTCGGAGGTTCCAAAATAAAAAAATTTGTAGAAAAATATATAGATCCTTCACAAAAAGCTCCTTTAGTTCAACTCTGGAGCTTCCTATTGGGATCAATTGCCTAAATGAAAATGCCATGACCTTTAACTAAGTAGGGACTGTAGGAGAGGAGACAAGCTGAAAGTTCTTCAGCTCGGGAACCATTTATCTCCCGGATTTGCACATCACGGTGCTACATCTAGCAACAACTATATTTACATGTCTGCAATCGGGCTAACGACTAGGGGTGGGCATTGGGTGGGTCGGGTGGATTTCGACCATAAAATGTACCCACCCGCGCTTAAACGGATTGATAATTTTTAACCCACCACCCACCCACATTTAGTCTCGGGTTGGGTCGGGCGGATGGTGGATGATTTGGGTGGGTTTGTGGTTCACCCACATCACAATGTATATAATATAAAGGAGTCAACTTGACATGATAATAGGCGAAGAGGGTTATCTGGGGAAACAAGAAGATGAAATAGGGCAAAAAAATGTCGAATTAGTTCTTAAAATGGATAGAATTCTATTATGAAAGAGTTTTCTACAGATTGAGATGATTATCAGGTGCAAGGAACTAAGAAAAATAATTCCACAAAGGAAAGAGCAGTGATCTAGGCACAAGAATTAGAGGAAAAAATAAATGGAAGAAGAGGGGATCGCTATTTGGAAGGTTGGCTTTGAGGTTCAAACTCCAGGAGCAGTCCTAGTTTATGTCTAACGTCTCCGCTCTCCCCTCTCTAGCGCCGACGACTTTGATCTTTTTGCTGTTGGGTTGAGCGGGTCACCCGCGCACCCACCCACAACCCACCCACCATCCGGCGGATGGCTCCCAACGCAATCCGTCACCCACCCATAGACCCACCCACTTAATGAAATTCGGGTCAAATGCGGGTGGGTCGGCTCAAACCCGCGGATGATCCGCCCGCATGCCCAGCCCTACTAACGACCACCAAGGCCATACTTACTAACTTAGAAACTTTGCATATGGAAACTCCAAATTACATATAGAAGCTACAGAGGCCAGATTCCATATCTTGACATAGTTTAGTTTGACGTCAAAAGCCAATTCAGCCTGCATTTCCTTCCTCCTCTTCACCTGCAGGCCGAGAGAGCAGAGCTTTCATAAATCATCATCGACCAAGCAGCAGTTCAGGTGTCTTCCGGTTTACACAAAGAAGATCCAACACTGCATCCATCATCATCATCATCATCATCATCATTTGATTTGTTCAAGTACAAGACTACAAGGGTGCAGCAGTGCTTGCGAACACAACAAAAACTCTCCACTGATTCAACGAAAAAGAATGCAAACTACTTACCTCTCTTGAAGGGAGTTGGTACTTGGCCGCCCCGTTGAACCCAACATTTGTAGCTTCCAGCATACATGCCTTGCAATTCCTTGTACCTTGGAATCGGACTAGGCCAGCAAGATACCGCGGGCTGGAAGATCCTCAATGTGGACACAGGCCGATAAAAGTGCGCCAGCTCTCCGCTGCTCAAGTCGCAAGTCACGATTTCATTATCTCCCATCTCCCCACCATAGCGAGGGTAATACAATAAGACAATTCCTGGGTTCGCTGGATGCAGACCAATTACTGAACAGCGCTCGAGCTGAAAGTCATTGTCACGCCATGAAACGAAGGCCTTCACCGACACCTGGTAATGGCTCCAACATTCACGACGGTCTTCTTCTTTTTCCAGCCTCCAGACGCGTGCACGCACACAATCGGCCTTCGCGTCGAGCTCGAATATGTGGAAAGCGCCCTGTGAGACCGAGATGTTCCACCGTCTCGGCAGGAGCTGAGAAACGTCGGTGCAGGTGGGAGGAAGATCAGGACGGAAAGGGTTGAATCGAACGAGCTGAGGTGCAGCCCCTGCTGCTTCAGCTCTGCGGCACCCCCAAACCAACTCCCCATTCCACGAGATCAAATGCGGATCCCTCAGTCTCAGAAACCCATCAAGGACAAGAGCCCTGCTCGTCCATTCTCTGGACTCGGAGCAGAACACGTCCAGATAGATCGACTGGCGCAACAGATACATACACACCACCCGAAACCTGTACTCTGAATAAACAACTAGATCGAGATCGATAGACTGCCGGGGTTCACAAACCAGCCTCGCCTCCATCTGAAAGTACCCCTCTGGTCTCGTCGGAGCGAGAGGCAGGGCGACCCAGAGCTTCGTAAACGGATTGTAGATGAAGAAGGTTCTGCCGAATTCGCCATTGGGTCCTTCTGCTTCGTCGAACCCGCACAAAACCAGGTCCTCGAAGGAATCGCAGACGCAGAAATCGGTCTCGACTCCTGGAGGCACGGTGACCAAGGTCAGGAGGATGGAGAGGTAGTAGTCGAACGAGTGGAGAAGCAGATCGAGGTGGTTCGCTGTTCCTGCTCATGTGGCGCGGAACAAAAAGGCGATTGAAGTCGGGGATGAAGTAGGGCCGCACGATCGAGAGTAAGATCGTGACAAGTGGTATCAGAGCCTTGTTCGGCTTTGTGCTAGCAAAGTTGAACCTAGAGTCAAAAGGAAAGGAAGAGTCTCACCAAAAATGTTGGGATCAGAAGTCCATGACGATGCTGAGAAGCAGCGTGGAAGAGACCCCACACTGGGCCAGAGGGCAAAAGGTACGTCGAGCACTCGTGATCCTCTCAAGTCTCTAGAGAGGCGAGTATCGAGGATGGAGGTGAAGCTTTCGGAAGATGTCACCGCCATCGAGGATTTGGGAGCTAACTTCGCCCAAGTCCAAGGCGATGTTCAAGGAATGGCTGGTAGGTTGACGAGCTTGGAGATCAACCATGATGGGATACGAGAAGAGCTTGTGGCCCTCATCAACAACACCATCACCGCCTCCGTGAACAACACCATTGAAGTTGTGAAAGAGCATGTCCAGGCTGAGCTGGTCGGCGTGAAGGAGGAGATTGCAGACCTCAAGAGTGAGGTCACTCTCGTGAAGAGAGCCATGGCTAGCGGACCAGCCCCGATGCAATTTGTCCCACGTGCTGACGTTCCAAGACCGAAGAACTTCGGAGGTTCAAGGAACGCGAGGGAGTTAGAGAACTTCCTTTGGAGTCTTGAGAAATACTTCAAGGCATCCGGTATCCAAGAGGATGAGGTAAAACTTCGTACCGCTCCACTATACTTGGTTGATGTTGCAATGGTGTGGTGGAGGCGACGTGAAGCGGACGTCGAAAGGGGTACTTGTGTGATGGTAACGTGGGAAGATTTCAAGAGAGAAATCAAGAAGCAGTTCTACCCAGAGAACGTGGAGTTTGAAGCCCGTTCGAAGTTGAGAAGACTCACCCAAAGGGGTGGAGTTCGAGAATATGTGAAAGAATTCTCGGAGCTACTTCTAGAGATCCCGGACATCACGGAAAAGGAGGCCATGCACGGCTTTCTTGATGGGCTGCAACCATGGGCCAAGATGGAGATGCAACGTCGAGGAGTGCAAGACCTTGCAACTGCCATGGCCACGGCAGAGAGTCTTTTGTCGAGTACAAAAGGCAAGAGAGCAGTGGCAAAGAGAAGAGTTCAAAGCCCAACAAGGGTGGAGAGCAGCAGAAGCCTTTCAAGGAGGGTTCTCGCACTCAACAACACCAAGGTGGTTCGAGCAAAGGGGGTAAGTACGAGCCAAAACCCATGTCTTGTTTCCTTTGCGACGGACCACATCGAGTGCGGGATTGCCCAAGGAAGGCGAGATTGGCGGCCATGGAAGCTCAAGAGGAAGAGCCCAAGGCGGCGGAGGCCAAGATTGGCTCAATCAGCAAGCTTGGCGCGGTGAAGACCGACGTCAAGGAGAGCAAGCGCGGGAGGTGCTACGTTCTGGCGCAATTCATGCAAGGCGAGTCAAAAGCTTTGGTGGATAACGGTGCCACGGACAACTTTCTTCGCATCGAGGAGGCAAACCGGCTAGGTATTGCCTACGAGAAGGGGCAAGGGAGGCTCAAGACGATCAACTCGGAGTCTATCCCAATCCATGGAGTTGCTCACAACGTGCCAGTGAAGCTTGGCGAGTGGGAAGGCCTCATCGACTTTTCCGTCGTCACCATGGATGATCACCCAGTCATCCTCGGCATCAACTTCCTCGATAAGGAGGGAGTGCTCTTGAAGCCCAACTCCAACACGATGTGTTTGGAGAAGGAGGGGAGGTTTCATACGGTCCATCTCTTGAGAGAAGATGGCCCCCATAGTGCTCTATCGGCCATGCAGGTATTGAAGGGGTTCAAGAAGAATGAACCAACCTTTCTTGTGTCCTTGAAAATGGAGGAAGAAGGAGGCTCAACGGGAATCACAACTCCCATCATCGAAGCTGTCCTCGAAGAGTTCGATGATGTGATGCCATCGGAGTTACCCAAGAAGCTGCCACCAAGAAGAGAGGTGGACCACAAGATCGAGTTGGAGCCAGGAGCAAAGCCCCCTTCGCGAGCACCATACCGCATGTCGCCACCAGAGCTAGAAGAGTTGCGGAGGCAGCTCAAGGACTTGGTGGACGCAGGCTACATGCGGCCATCGAAGTCACCTTTTGGAGCACCGGTGCTGTTCCAAAAGAAGAAGGAAGGGTCGTTGCGCATGTGCATCGACTATAGAGCCATCAACAAGTTGACGGTGAAGAACAAGTGGCCGATTCCCAACATTGCCGACTTGTTCGACCAGCTTGGAGATGCTATGTGGTTCACCAAGCTCGATCTTCGCTCGGGCTACTATCAAGTGCGGATAGCAGAGAGCGACGAGCCAAAGACGGCTTGTGTGACGAGGTATGGCTCTTACGAGTTTCTTGTGATGCCATTCGGTCTCACCAACGCACCAGCCACGTTTTGCACTTTGATGAATCAAGTGTTCGAGTCATTCTTGGACCGGTTTGTCGTGGTCTACTTGGATGACATCGTCGTGTATAGCAAAACACTCGATGAGCATGCCGAGCATCTACGCCAAGTCTTCCAAGTCCTTCGCGACAACGAGTTGTACGTCAAGAGGGAGAAGTGCACATTTGCCGCCACGGAGGTTCCATTCTTGGGGCACATCATTGGTGGAGGCAAGTTGAAGATGGATGGAGCGAAGGTGCGGCAATCCAAGAATGGGAGCCGCCGACGAAGGTGCCAGAATTGCGGTCATTCCTCGGCCTTGCCAACTACTATCGGAGGTTTATCAAGGGCTACTCCAACATTGCAGCACCCTTGACGGATCTCTTGAAGAAGAACAAGGCGTGGGATTGGTCGGAAAGGTGCCAAGAAGCATTCGAGGCCTTGAAGCAAGCAGTGGTGAAGGAGCCCGTGCTCGTGCTCCCCAACCCAACGTTGGCCTACGAAGTGCAGACCGATGCATCCGACTTCGCAATTGGAGGTGTGTTGATGCAAGATGGGCATCCCATTGCCTTCGAGAGTCGGAAGCTTAGCTAGACGGAGAGGCGATACACCGTTCAAGAGAAGGAGATGACGGCCGTGGTGCATTGCTTGCGCACATGGAGGCACTACTTGTTGGGGTCGAAGTTCGTAGTGAAGACGGACAATGTGGCGACGAGCTACTTTCTGACGCAAAAGAAGCTCACCCCTAATTGCACGGGAGCGATGTTGATCTTGCCCGGTTCAATACCTTCGATCCCTTGGGCCAGGATCGATATACAATCGAGGGTCGTATATCTCAGCACCCATCTATAAAAAAATAAGAAATCAAATCAATTTATATTTCAGCACCCATTTAAAAAAATCACAAAATAAAAAAAAATAAATTTACGTACTCTCAGAGCCTCTCCGTCCATTTTTTTCCGAAAAGCTAGAGAGAGTATCGACAAAACAAAAACTCTAGTAATTCTTTCTGATGCGGAAGATCGGACTTATTCGCAACCACAGAGCATACTTAGAACGAAACTAGAGTGAAGTAACGGAGGGAGAAAGAAGTATAAATGGTGGTGTGGTTTGGAATGGGGGGGGGGGAGTGGTATTGATAGGGGGAAGGGGCGCTGGAAATTTCAGGGCACCAATCACCGCGTTGCACAAAAGCGGTGAACTCACTGCGTTGAAGAAAAACAGTGATGGCTCGGATCGCTGACGTGGCGACCTGTGAGGCGTCAGATCGTGGAGAAAAACCACAATCCGCGCCTCACCGCATCGGACGGTAGCGGTGAAGGGCGCGGACGACAAGGTTCGGTGACGTGGCGGGCGGGGCTATCACCGCTTTTGTCATTAACAGTGAAGTGCCCCGTCCACGTCAGCTATCCGCGCCACTTCACCGTTTTTGACATCAACGGTTAAAATTGCTTCACCGTTTCCCTTATCAACGGTCACACTATCCCCGTTTTTCACGAACGCGGGGATTGATTCCCCGTTTTCCTCTTTAGCGGTGATAGCATCACTGTCTTAGTCTAAAGCGGTGATGCTATGACCGTTTTGGACAAAAACGGTGATTATAATCACTGTCTTCGTCGTCGACAGTGATGTTGAAACTGCTGTACTTTGGGAAATAATTTTATAAGTACTGTATTTAGGGAATTTTTTTTAATAATTAGAGTATTCTGGGATTTTTCCCGGTTTTAGTTTACACTTTACAGTCGGTCGACTGAGTTTCGCAGCGACGAAGAACAAGATTACAAATAAACCATTATCTTCCCGTTGTAGTAAATACTAAATAGATTATAGATTACACTTTTAATCCCTCAATTTTACTTCCTTACATTTGGATCTGAAAATATTTTCTTGTTTATTAGTTTGTTCACTTTAAATCTCATTTCAATTATCGATTATTCAATTTTGTTAAACTCTGTCCTACGTGTGAGAAGTCGATTATACTTTGATGAGTCCACAAATTTATTATGTTTTCTTTTACCCCACTTTTGAAAAATGTACGAAATTGCGATTGATTCAGTGGCTGATTTGAGTGATCTAGAGTAGATGACTCAAAACTAAAAATTCACATCTTAATTTTAGGTGATTTTTCTCGACTTCTCACTCTCACTTCACTACATTTGTTTTCTCACTTTTTTCATGGTTTGGTCGATACAATCAGGTACGATCGATAGTGGATAAAAATCTGTTGGAAAACCGCAGGTAAGTGGCAACAGTTAAAATCGTTAAAAATTATGCTGACTTCTCTTTCTTTGTAACGTAGTAAATTCTTTAACTGGATTCCTATTTAACGCCCTAAATTTTTAAAATATTCGCCTTAAATTAACCAAACGGACAAAATTACCCCTAACTTCCCAAAACGTACGCCCTAATCTCCAAATACGCCCTAATCTCCAAATCATGCACCCCAAACCTACAGTTAGCCCTAGATGACCGTCGCCCAACTCCTCCCCTGCCGGCGTTCTCCGAAACCCGCCGTTCGCCCTGGATGACCGTCGTCGCCCTTCGCCCTGGCAGTCCGTCGCATGGGAA